ATTAGCATGGGAATCAGGTTTAAGAGAAGCCTGGCAGAGACCCAGTCTTGCTTTCTGGTCCAGCAGTTAAAACCGGCCTCCACCGCCACCCCTGTTCTGGAGTCACCGTAGGGGCAGCGCAGCAGTCATTTGGCTGCTGGATCAACAATGAATCTTTTCATCAGGAGTCCCAGAGCGGTGAGCCACCTCCACATTCAAGTTAATGAGAGCCTTTCGAGCCACATTTGGAATTACAATAAATAATGTCCCAAATTATGCTGACTAAGAGATACCATCACCAAGAATGTGCTCTCCACAGAGTGCAACAGCAAAAGAAGGTCATCTACTCTGGAAGGCGTCCATACCTCCAATTATAAATCTGGTTGACAATGAATATCGCCCTTATGTATTGACTATGTTAATGAACCCAGAGAGCTACAGACGGTATGGCTGTTCCTCTACAATGTTATTTGCACTAGGCACCAATATATATATATATATATTTAATGGTGGACTTGGCATATGAAGCCAGGATGAGGCAACATCAAATTGGAAAAGAATGAAGGCATGAGAAGAGAAGAGAAGAAAAGAGAAGAAAAGAAAAGATCTGCCAAAAAAGCTGAAAAACATCTTCATGTATGTGACAACGGCCGCAAGAGTTTTAATAGCACAAGGGTGGAAGACTGAAGAAACCCCAACTAAAGAATCATGGCAAGAAAAATTGATGGACTATGCAGAACTGGCAAAACTGGCATATAAGCTACGGGATAAGGATAACTGTGACTTTAAAGATGAATGGGAACCCTTTACAAAAGTATCTGAAGACGCAACAAAGCGAACTGGACTCCTTGGCTGGCTTTGAATAAACATTCACAAACTTTTTATTGATAATTATCAGCTAAATAGTTTGAGGATCTATACCAGTGTTTCACAAACTTGGGTCTCCAGACGGTTTTGGACTACAATTCCCATCATCCCTGACCACTGGTACTGCTAGCTAGGGATGATGGCCGTTGTAGTCCAAAAACAGCTGGAGACCCAAGTTTGGGAAACACTGATCTATACAACTGTGTAACGTGCAGAAAACAGCATTTTTAGAGAAATCAAAGGCTGGAACTGAGGGAAGTCGGGGGGGGTGGGGGGGGTTATGTGGGGGGAGGAAGGGGAGGGAGGAAAAAATGGGGGGAAATAAGGATGATATGTTTCTGGATAATATGTTTTGTTTTAACTTTGAATAAAAAAGTAATAAAAAAAGAAAAGAAAAGGGAAGAAAAGAAAAGAAATCTACTGAGTAAGAGAATGAGAGAAGAATCTTTGCTTTGGAAGCCACTAGGATAAATAATCCATTCTGAGGGGAAGCATGAAGGAGGAAATGTATGGCAAATGTCTGTGTGTGGCTAGTACTGTAATAACCGTCGCCCTCACCAGAATGGGTGTATCAAGGTCACCCAAAACTGCAGCAGGAACTATTGCTTAACGCAATCTGCACTGCAAGAAGAAACCAGTTAATGCAGTATGAGCTTGTCTCTCGGGACTGACGGCTGCCAACAACGGCTTGTGACGGCACACCACTCAGTAGCACTGCCGTTGTTGAGTCCGTGCGTATCACAGAAGCGATCTTCGTTGGATTACTGTGGTGAGGGAGGCCACAATCAATGCCTGGAGAAGTGCCACAGGTTCATTCGTACCTACTTAAGCATGTCAGAATGAGACCTGTGAGGGGGCAGGTGTGGGAAAAACTGGGTGGCAGCAGCATTCCTCTCCCTGGGAACTTTGATGGGGGGGGCGGATGAGGTGAGAGCATGACTCTCTCTTTAGACACCACTCTGTGCTCATATCTCTGATGACCCCTATTACTTATAACCTAGCTAGGCATAAACACATTCTGCAAATTTAAAAAAGAAGATTTCTGTTAATAATGAACATTTATAGTATTCAGGTTTGAGGCGTGTGTGTGTGTCCCCTGCCCCCCCTGCATGCTGCTGAGGCAAGCAAAATGGTTCAAATTGCTTTCGTTTTCTCAGCCATCCTTACCACAGCCCTGTAAAATAAGCCGGTACTCTTATTGGTATGTTGCCAGAGTGGGGACATTTCTGAGGCATAGAAACGGCAAGCATAGCTAAAGCCCGCTAGAGAATTCAAGGCCGAGGTAAAATTTAAAGCAAGGCCTTCCCAGCCCATATCTTAATCTTCACTTATACACCAGTGTTTGCGGGCCCACGTGCTAACCCTGTCCTTGCCCCCCCCCAAAGGAAGAGACCAGACAACAAGGTATGGGTTTGAATTGGCCACAACTTTAGTGAATTCAGATTTCAGATGTAGGCAACCTGGCCTTGGAAGGTATCCTTCTCAACCCCACGAGGGGCTGAGGATGTGCAGGAAGACAGGTGCAATGTGAGGGGACTGCAAAGTGTGAATTTACACAGCGTGCCCACACACAGCACCGGATTGGGAGTCTGACATATTTGCCGCTGCTCTAGGGCCAGGGACTCCCACAAACACCCTTTAACGGGCCCTGCAAAAACGCTGCCACATGGGGGTGCATGAGATGCCACCCCCTTTCACTCAAAGATAGACTAAAGGATACCTAACAAGGCCCAAAACCGCCACCCGAGGCCCAGGGGCCTCGCCTACAACTGAGCACAACCCTCCACAGAACAAGCCCCTGAAAATAAACTCCCTTTGGCCTGATCCTAGAAGAGAAAAGACGAGTGAGTCTTGGCCGGGGATCGGCCCCTAAAGGTATTCCCAAGCCACACCTCCACTGGCAGCCCATTGGCCCGCCATGTGGGGGTGGGCCAAGCCCGCAGTTACCTGGTGGGTGCCACCTGGCCAGGTGGCTCCGCCCAGGGCCGCAAACTCCGCCCACCTGTTGGGAGGGGTGAGTGGGCATTGTGTTTTTGCAGGGTATTGACACCTGAGGCATCCAACATTTTCTGAATTAAAATTAGAGGCACACTTCACCAATGGGATTTACTTTTAGAGAGGCCCAGTGGTCAAGAATATGAACAGGACCCTACCAGCTGGCTCACTGATTCCAGAGCTAGCAGCCACCCATTCTAGAACCAGGTCTAATCCTAGAACCAGATCGAAAAACAAGCAGCCAACACTTAACCAGCAATCTAGTCATACAAAAATGGTGCCATTTATTCACTTGCATGACACCACAACATCCCCATTGCAATGGTTTTTATTTTATGGTTGAAAAGATGCTGAAGGTAGCTCAAGCTTTGTTGCCTGAAAGACAAAATCCATCCCATTAAATTTAAGACACTGTTGAGGCTTGGTTGGGGATGAACACTTGCCTCTGTATTCCAAGTTGTTCATTTCCTTGGCCTTTGGTGTTTTGTAGCTTTCAATACACCTCAAGGAAATGAGAGCAATAAAGGAACGTCATAAACCTTCCAACAAGCTGCTAAGAATCAGGTGCTGGTGGGCTTCCTCCCCTCCCCTGAGATGACCTTTTGGTGGCCAGAGCCACAGATGCTTCCCAGGAAGCACATCTTTTCCACCCTCCCCCTTCCAAGCCCAGCATGCTCCAACCACCATCAACACACCATTGCAAAGGGAAATTTGCTTCTGCTGGGCAGTGGGGATGAATGGGCACCAGTACAAAGAAGGAAGTCATATGCTCATTCATGTATCAGCTGATGCTTTGATTTCCCTACCTGAAGACAAAAGGCTACATAACTCGTAGGTTATGGAATGGACCCTGAAACTGACCCCAGAAACCCTTTACAAACTGCAGTGTCCAGAATCGATTGAGGGAAATAATATGTTTGAATGTCCTGTAAAGGTATAGGGTAAAGGTAAAGGTAAAGGTAAAGGGACCCCTGACCATTAGGTCCAGTCGTGACCAACTCTGGGGTTCTTTTAATGCTGCAAGGGACTTTTTTATGTGTCATTATGACAGGTGGTGGAGGGAGCGAGCCGCATTCCAGTGAGTGAGCCTGTCCCTGGCCATGCAACTGGTGTTGGCCCTCTCACTGGTCAAAGCTGAAGGAGTTAAGGGGCAGGGGGATTAGGAGAGAGACCCGGCTGGGGAAGAGGAAACAGGTTTGTAAACACGACTGAAACTTTAGGTTAATTTTTTTAAGTAAACAAAGGGATTTTACTCTACTGAAACATTACTGTTTACAACTTCAGAAAGAGGTACACATAATTTTCACCTGTGAGCTGATTGATATATATATATACATAATGCATCTGTCTAAAAAGTGTTAGGAGAGACAATAATTTTGAAATTAAATGGAAACAGAAAGAAACTAGAAGACCAAAGAAGAATTAATCCTAATCAAAGAGGGACAGTCAATTGCAGACAAAAGATGGACTTCGAGAAAGTCCCCAAAAGAAAGCTCAGCCAAGCAAAATCTAAACTTAAAAATTCAGAAAAATACCAAGATGAAGATTTTAAGGATAATCACCAAAACAAAAAACACCACATGACAACTAGAGAAGCCAAGAGAAAATGAAGGAATATGAAGGGTATAAATCAAGTTTTGCTTACTTTTCAAACTAACTGTAAAAAGGAGCACATGAAAGCACATAGATGGGTATGAAGTTTGCTTGAAGCACAGTGAAAAATAGGTAGCGGAAATGGAAAGTTTTTCTTTTAAAAGGCAACTAGAGAAGCCATCTGATGTTAGGAAAAGTGTGAGGTTTTCATTGCTGAAGCTAGAAAAGCCAAGATTGGGAAGACTTTAGCAGAGGAAAGACTTAGAAGCAAGAAGTGTTGGTGGATCCAGGCTGATGAAGTGTAGCTGGTAACACAAAAACTGAAAGCCCTCTGCAATGTTCTTAGTACATGTAATACTTGGATAATAAGTTTTTTTACTGAAGCCAGAAATAGGAGAGATGAGAAGGGAGGGATTTTGGGAGCATACTGACTTCTTGTCTCTTTCTAGAAAGTCTGGAAAGTCCTTGTGTGTACCACCTTCCTGAGGTTATAATAACAATATTATAATAATTTATTATTTATACCCCGCCCATCTGGCTGGGTTTTTTTTATAAAAAAAAAATACTATAAGTTCTTTGTTTTTCATCTAGCCCTGAGAGTGGCATCTAGCATCTGTAACTCTCCCTTAGAATGAGTGTGCCAAGATTTCAGTGGATAGCAAGTGCTGCAGGTAGCAGCAGCAGCAGAAGCAGCAGCAGCAAAACGCACTTGTCACGGATCAGAATATTTTACCTAATTGGAATCTATGGGGTGACATGTCGATTCCAGTGTGGAAAAGCAAAGAAGGCATTTTGAGGATGAAGCTGCTGGGGGGAAAAAGATAAGGTAGAAAAGGCATTTATCCTGCAATATTCTTTCTCATACAGTTTAGTGGCCTTAATTTCATGGGTAAAGTAACCCTCCAGGACTATATTGAAAGTTGCCCAGGTTTTCTGCAACATTAGCACATCGAAACACGTTATATACTCGCAAAATGACTCACCCCCTACTTTCTTGACCCAACCTGCTATGACTCTTTCAGGTTGCGGTGACAGAGTTGTCAGAAGAGGCCCTATTCCGTGTCATCACATTTCTGTAGGATTGGTGGAAGGTTATTGGGGACAAACTAGTGATTCTAGATCTCTCTCTTCTGCCCCTCTAGATTAATGGCTCCTCCAGCTTCAAATAAAATGGCGGTCAAAATGATATTCTGTGACTGAAGGACATTTAGGTGAGTATCCCTTGCTTGGCTAGGGAGGAAATTTCTATTGTGTTCCGTCTGCAACTCATTGTGCTAAGACTCTTTCAGGTTGCGGTGATTGAGATGTCGGAAGAGGCCCTATTCTGTGTCACCACAATGAGGCTCACCTGCAGGTAGGAGAAGACTTCTTCTTTTCTTCCAGCTCTTCTTTCCTTCACATTCCACCACTCAGTTGTCTTTTTTCAAGACAATGTTTTTTCTATTGATCTCTCCTTTTTCCCTTTTTCTTTTCTGCTGGTCTCTTCACAGTACTCTCCAAAGATCCTGCAACACTCAAATGAAGACAGCTCTTCCAGCAGAGTCCCGGAAATCAGGGCGGTAAGAAAGCTTAAATAAAATAAAATAAAAATCTCATTTTCTGTTCCGTCTGCAACTCATTGTGCTAAGATTCTTTCAGGTTGCGGTGACAGAATTGTCAGAGGAGGCCCTATTCTGTGTCACCACAATGAGGCTCACCTGCAGGTAGGAGAAGACTTCTTTTCTTCCAGCTCTTCTTTCCTTCAGACTTCCCAGAGTTCACTGTTCTTGAAGTGAGAGTCACCAGCATTAGGACAGTGCTGCTTTAGGTAAGTTCACATTGCACCACTCAGTTGTCTGTTTTCAAAACAATGTCTTTGGTATTGGTCTCTCCTTTTCCTCATTTTCTTTTCTGCTGGTCTCTTCACAGGTCTCCCCAAAGAGCTCTTCTTAACCTCTTAAGGTTTTCTTTTTCCTGAGAGAACATTCACAGAATGTTCTCTCAGGTTTTGCTTTTCCCCTTGTTGCATTGCTCAAAAAAAAAGCAAAAGACACTGGTGGTTGGCGCTCCTGGTTCCCAGGACGGGGTTCAAATCCCTGCGCTGTCCATGCTTACTTCCAATGCAACTGCTAACTCTCTCTATTTCTCTCTATCCCTCTCTGTCTCTCTAGCCCTCTCTATCCCACACTGCCCAAATAACAATTGGCTCCCTTTTTCTTAAGCCCAAGTATTAGCATGGGAGGGTGGTGACTTCAGTGACTGAGCTTGATTCTTAACTCCACCATCGCACCAAAGGACCATTTCAAGCACCACCTTCCTGGCAATGTGCTGTTGCTGGGAAGATGCTCACTTGGTGTATCACTGGTTGTGTGTCTAGGTCGGCTGGATCAGGTGGCTGCTTCCCCTCCTAGCGTTCCCAGTCACTGGTGTGAGAAGTCTCTCCATGGATCTGGTCTGCCTGCATTCCAGACACTACTGGAGGAGCAATTCTCCCTGCAAAGGTAACAGACAAGGTGGCCTTATGGGGGAAACATGCTGTGGAGCTTGCTGTGTAGGGTGGTGTTTTTGTTTTTTAACAATTCATGATCAATAGCTTCCCAATCTTCTGTCAGTAAATGGTGGATCATGAACATAGCTGTCAACTTTTCCCTTTTCTTGCGAGGAATCCTATTCGGAATAAGGGAATTTCCCTTTAAAAAAGGGAAACGTTGACAGCTATGATCATGAAGCAAGGAGAATTGGGAGGAGACCTGGGCAAGGTGTGAGGCAGGTGCAGATGCAACTTTGATTACAGGTGTTCTGGCAACTTAGAAAGTTCAGTGTCTGTGTTTGCTTGCCTTCAGATTGGCAGATGCAACAAAACCATTGTCCAAGGCGGCCTCTGTTTCAAGGCCAGAATTGATTTGCATTCCCATAACTGTTACTCTCTTTCTATTTTTGCAGATCATGGTGCAAGACTGTAGATTTTTCCCCTTGCAAAGTTAAGCAACAGTGTCACAATTATTTAAGGTAGGCAAATCTGATAGATAAAAATGGAGCAGCCAGAAATACTTTTGAAATCTGAAGGCTTGTTTGTTTTTTTGTTAAAAATAGTTCCTAACTGTTTCTTGTTCAGGAAATCAGGGGTTTTTTTTGGGGGGGGGGCAAGATTGCTATCGTACAGAGCACGGTGTGACATAAAACCAGCACATTTTCTGTGCTTTGCTTCTCTTCTGGAAGCTCAACAACTTCACCACCTTTTCTAGATGAAAAGGACTGCATAAAACCATTGTGGAGATGTGGGAGTAGGCCTCCCATAATCGTTGCTATCTCCTTCAAATACAGTAAATGTCTAAGCACAGTCGATGGAAATAGGAAAGGATGGGAAAGTATTAGAAATCAAGAAAAAGTATTTTACTGTGAGCAGCAAAGGATGGAGGGAAAATAAGCATCTTGAAAGACGGGTGTAAAGTCAACTTTTAAATTTGTGTTAAATTTGAATTAATTTGTTGTTAATTTGTGTTAAATTTGGAAAACTAATAAAAAACTAATAAAAACTGTTGGGGATTGTAGGGAGAGACCTGCCAAAAAAAGTTGAAAAACATCTTCATGTATGCGACAATGGCCACGAGAGTTCTGGTAGCACAAGGATGGAAGTCTGAAGAAACCCCAGCTAAAGAATCATGGCAAGAAAAATTGATGGACTATGCAGAACTGGCAAAACTGACATATAAGCTACGGGACAAGGATAACTGTGACTTTAAGGATGAATGGGAAACCTTTACAAAGTATCTGAAGACGCAGCAAAGCGAACTGGACTCCTTGGCTGGTTTTGAATAAACATTCACAAACTTTTTATTGATAATAATCAGCTTAATAGTTTGCCAGTAGTGATGTATGGAAGTGAGAGCTGGACCATAAAAAAGGCTGATCGCCGAAGAATTGATGCTTTTGAATTATGGTGCTGGAGGAGACTCTTGAGAGTCCCATGGACTGCAAGAAGATCAAACCTATCCATTCTGAAGGAAATCAGCCCTGAGTGCTCACTGGAAGGACAGATCCTGAAGCTGAGGCTCCAATACTTTGGCCACCTCATGAGAAGAGAAGACTCCCTGGAAAAGACCCTAATGTTGGGAAAGATGGAGGGCACAAGGAGAAGGGGATGACAGAGGACGAGATGGTTGGATAGTGTTCTCGAAGCTACCAGCATGAGTTTGACCAAACTGTGGGAGGCAGTGGAAGACAGGAGTGCCTGGCGTGCTCTGGTCCATGGGGTCACGAAGAGCCGGACACGACTAAACGACTAAACAACAACAACAACAACAACAACAATAACAACAAATAGTTTGAGGATGTATACAACTTTGTAACATGCAGAAAACAGCATTTTTGAGAAACCAAAGACTGGAACTGAGGGAAGTCGGGGGGAGGGTGGGTTTTGTGGGGGAGGGGGGGAGGGAGGAAAAATGGGAAAACAAGGATGATATATTTTTGGATAATATTTCTTGTTATAATTTTGAATAATAATAATAATAAAAACCTAATAAAAACTAATAAAAATTAATTGGCAAAAAAGGAGGTAGTAATGGTTACCAACCTAAAAGAGTACACAAATTCGTGAAGGAGAGGGCATTGGATACCTACTGACCACGATGCCTCCACTCTGCCTTCACAGGTGGCAATGCCGCCTCGTTGTTGGCAGTTACCGTACAAAACTGTCAAAGTGGCATGGAGCTTTAAAAAACAATAACATATTTAAAAAGAAAGTCTCCTGATTTCCCACTGTTGTTTGCTTATAAGGAGCAAAGCATACAAGCAAGCGACTCTTATTTAAATTATGTGGAAAGTGAAAATGCCGTGAATGCAAAAGGGCAAAGATCATGCACTGTTTACAAAAGAAAACAGTACAAGGAAGCTTCCTAGCTGCCATTTCACAGTGTCTATAGACTCCTCTCCTTCCTTCTCTTAGTTTACATAATCTGCAAGGAAGGAGCCTTGCAGCGCTGCCAAGAAGTCCATGGAGAAAGTTACATTGGTCACTCCCAGAACAGCACGGGGCCCTGATAGTTCTCACCCGCCTCTACCGCCGCAAGACACATGGCAGCGTTTGCAAATGTTTGTCCTCATCTGACCCAGAAACCAAAACACAAGTGCCATGGACAGGGAAGTGTCCCCTGGAGAGTAGGAAGAGGGTAGTTCTCTGTCGTGTCCAGGGACTTTGGAATGTCGCTGCTGCTTTAAACATACAGACATGCAATTAAAGTTTGAGTGAATGTTCAGAAATAGGACTATGTCTCCCTGGGAGAATTTCAACTCCCCGCCCCCAATTCATGTTTCTGAAATGTGAGGAGGAAACTTGGCCGGGGTGGTGTGGGAATAACCAAAGGCACTAGTTATGTGTATAGATTCATAAGGTACAGTGGTACCTCGGGTTACATACGTTTCAGGTTACATACTGTCAGGGGTTCAGGAGCAGAGGCACAGGAAAGGGAGGAAATAGAGAGCGAGGGGGAGGAGTCCGAAGGAAATGTTAGCGATGACAGCGGTCCGAGGTCTCTGAGTCTTTCCAGCGAATCGGAAGATTCACAGAAAGGGCCAGAGGGGACTCAGAGAGCAGCAGTTGGAAATCAGGACCAGCGTCCACACCAGAGTGCAGTAGGGGGGGAGGAGTCCCAGGCATCGGGATCAGGCGGCGCACTGCCAGTGGGAGGACATGAGTCAGGATTGGCCACGCCTCCATCGGGGAGCGAGGAAACGGTCGAGAGGAAGGTTGAAGGCTGGGCGCGCGCGCCAAGTTCAAATGTACAGGAGGGCGGCGCAGCTGGCAGCCCGGATAGGGAGCCAGGTCCCAAAGCCCGCCGAAAAGAGGGGGAGGAGTCAGCGGGGTCAGCGCCAGAAGAATCCAGGAAGGAAGGGACCTCGGGGGTAGCAGGGCCCAGAGGAGTAAGGAGAGACGTAATTGGTGGAGTAAGGCTAGAATCTTAATCTGGTGTACAGGGGGCGGAGACTCAGATGGAGCTTCGCCGATCTAACCCCTAGACGTAGAGCTGGGGCGCTCCGGCTTGAAAATGGAAACTGTACTTCAATAAAGACTTTTGCACATTACTGCCGGCTAGCGTTGGTCCTCTGTGAGCTGGGACCTGGAGCCAGCTCTGACACATACGCTTCAGGTTACAGACTCCGCTAACCCAGAAATAGTGCTTCAGGTTAAGAACTTTGCTTCAGGATGAGAACAGAAATTGTGCTCTGGCGGCGTGGCGGCAGCAGGAGGCCCCATTAGCAAAAGTGGTGCTTCAGGTTAAGAACAGTTTCAGGTTAAGTACGGACCTCCGGAACGAATTAAGTACTTAACCCGAGGTACCACTGTATAGGCAACTCCCTTAAGTGAAGTAATGAATATTTGAAACACAGTTGAATAAGCCTGCAAGCGCCCCACCCCTTTCCTTGACATTTTCATTACACTTCTTGGTTTGGCGCGATGCCTGTGTGTGGGGTTGCACACATATCAGTCGTGCCTGAAACGGATGCTGCCTGCATCTTGGAGGTGATCCAGACCAAACCCAGTTTAATCCAGGGTGTACTATACAAGATGCAACACCAGCATCCCTAACAGGTGGTCATCCAGCCTCTGTTTAAATGCATCCAGCAAAAGAAAGCATCCTGAGAACATAAGAATTTGCAGAGGTGTTAGATGCTGGCAGGGTTTCCTTCAGCAACTGCACTGCAGCATTCTGCAGCTCCTGGATCAAGCCCAAAGGACGCCCCACTGCTGTGATCCCAATTTTGAAGTCACCAGTTCCTGAACTACTGGAGAAACACAGTAGTGGATAGAAATTGCAAAAAAAATACAGAGTAAAATTTAATACAGCCCATCTAAATGGTGTCACTATCTTGCTGGTCATGTGCCGCATGCAGATTACATTGTCTCATTTTGAAGGCTTTGATCTGTCCATCTTATTGAGAAGGCCCAGATGGAGACCACAGCCCATAGGCTGCATCCAAACTATATTTCATTGGACCCTTCAGTCTGAAGCATGAGTGCTATGTCCTGCTAGACATGTGAGACGCTGACCCTGTGCATTTGGTGGAGTCAAAGTTTCCAGGGCAGCTGTGAGGTAAGGACATGCAAATCCATTTTTTTCCTTTTTCTATAGAATGCCATAAACATGCCCCTTCGCAGGTTCCTTTACATGCAAAATGGAAATGTGTGGACTACTGGGAAAGCTTAGATGAGGGCAGACTTAATCTGAGTACGTGACTGCAGTTCTTCTGGCGGTTGCATAATGGAAATGTCAAGATTCATATCTGATAGCTGATGACTGGGCAGGAGCAGTCTATTTGGATTTCGTGCCATTGTGACTTTAATATGCAGGGATGAAAGCACTCTTAGAAAATGAGGTGCTGGGACACAAGATCCCCTGACCTTTCTCCTAATCTCTGGTGTATGATGGTGCAGGGATCTCCTGCTCTGAAGCTGCCTCAGACCATTAACTCCTCTAGTCCTGGGCCAGCCTCCAGGGTTAGTAGTCACTGGGTACCTGCTGAGGCCCCACTGCCAATCCCTGGAATCTTCTGGCCTTGTTGCCATTGCAATGCCCTCCAACCTTTCTCCGATGAAAATAGGGACATCCTGTTAAATAACGTGGTGCTGGAGGAGACTCTTGAGAGTCCCATGGGCTGCAAGAAGATCAAACCTCTCCATTCTGAAGGAAATCAGCCCTGAGTGCTCACTGGAAGGACAGATCCTGAAGCTGAGGCTCCAAGACTTTGGCCACCTCATGAGAAGAGAAGACTCCCTGGAAAAGACCCTGATGTTGGGAAAGATGGAGGGCACAAGGAGAAGGGGACAGCAGAGGACGAGATGGTTGGACAGTGTTCTCGAAGCTACCAGCATGAATTTGACCAAACTGCGGGAGGCAGTGGAAGACTAAACGACTAAACAACAACAACAACATTGAAGAAGAAGAAGAAGAAGAAGAAGAAGAAGAAGAAGAAGAAGAAGAAGAAGAAATTTTATTTTTTATACCCCGCCCATTTGACTGGGTTGCCCCAGCTGCTCTGGGCAGCTTCCAACATATATAAAAACATAATAAAACATTAAACATTAAAAAAAACCCTCAAGGACAACGTAGAGAAAGCAACTTTGATCTCAATCTCATTACTGCAAGTTACTTTTAGTCCTGGCTTCCTGCCACCATCCCGTGAAGCTCGGCAATGCTGGCTGGCTCTCAATGAGATATTAATGGTTCCCAAAAGATGGGTGGGGAAGTACAACATCCTTTGCCAGATTTGGATTGTCAGTGAAGTGATAAAAGACGCCATCAAACATGTCAAGACATTTTTCACTTCACCCCGGAGCAGGAATTATGGGCTTGTTCTGTGATTATAGCCCACTGCAGGTTAGGTTTCTGTGCCGTGGTCTGGAGGGGCAGCTCCTCCTTCTTTGCGACCAGGGAGCAGGCTCTGTGGCCTTTGCGGCACACACCGTTCTGTGATGCTAGGCTTTTAATTTCTAATCACAACTGTAATCTACCCTTGAGCTCAGACAGCATATGGGGGTTTTTGTCTCCCCTGTCGCATCTTCACAACAGGTAAAAATCCTCCAGTGTCCCTATTTTCCAGGGACGTCCCTGATTTAGAGAAGCCGTCCCGGTTTCTGATTTGAATGTCCCACTTTTCCTTAGGATGTCCCTATTTTCACTGGAGAAATGCTGGAGTGTATGGAATAATCCAACCTCCAAGCTCTCTGAAGGCAATCCTGCCTAGGGAAGCTTTTTAAATATTTAATGTTTTATTATGTTTTTATGTATGTTGGAAGCTGCCCAGAGTGGCTGCAGCAACCCAGTAAAATGGGTGGGGTATAAATAGTAAAATTATCATTATGAAATGAGACATCTCTATTTCCACTGGAGAAATGTTGGAGGGTGTGGAAGTAGCTTTCACTGAAAGTCAATCACCGGAGCAAGGATCACCAAGCAAGCTTCATGTCTGGACTGGTATTTCACGCTGTGTTTTCTCTGTATAAATATTAACACTTCCAGCATTTTATCATTCTTATTGTAATATGTTTTAGATGTTTTAAGACACTCACCATCTGCACTCACTTATCTCTATTTTTCTTTGCACTTTGATGTAGTTCAGCCTGTCCCTTCGGGCAACGAACATTTCTTTACCACAGACCATTTACTCCTATTATATAAGTTGTTAGCGGAAACAAAGTAGAATCATAGAATCACAGAATCATAGAGTTGGAATAGACCACAAGGGTCATCGAGTCCAACCCCCTGCCAAGCAGGAAACACCATCAGAGCACTCCTGACATATGGTTGTCAAGCCTCTGCTTAAAGACCTCCAAAGAAGGAGACTCCACCAAACTCCTTGGCAGCAAATTCCACTGTCGAACAGCTCTTACTGTCAGGAAGTTCT